GGCTTTCCGGTGCCAGAGGACTGGTTTGGGGATTTTCCGTCACCGGGGAGACTCGAATCCCCTGGAGGTTGCTGCGATGCCATGGGGTAGCAGCTCTCGGGTGGGGGAGGTAGGGAGGCAGACGGTTGATGTACTCTGGGAAGATCTTGCGCGAGGAGGGAAATATGTATTTGAGGGCGTCTAGAGGGAGCCTATGGCCCGGAATTCGCAGGTGAGGCGCCGGCAACGGAGTCTGGGGGCAAGTGCTAGAGTGGCAGGCGCTGCAACATGCACGCCGCCAGATTTTTCAGCTATCAAGCGGGACCGAGGACAAGGAGCAAAGATACAAAGACAGACAGACATACATAGGGACAGATACGGGATGCACGTGGGATCTTCAAACACAATGAACGTACAGGGGGCGGGTAGGGAGGCGGGAAGGAGACAGTACCGCTCTCATCGACAAAGATCCAGACCCGATGGGCAGGGGCATCGAGGCCAGCTTTGTTCGAGTGCCGGTACCTTTGACTTTTGCCGCGAAGGCCAAGAGATGCGAGGATGCAGTCGACTTCGAGGCAATGAGAGTAGATAACTCGCTGGGGGTCGCCACGGTGGGGGTTTTTCTGCGCAGAGGCTTCGTCGACGTCATCGAAGCAACAGAAAAACTTCATGCTGCATATCTAGGGTAGGTGTGTCCCTGCTAGCTTGATACTTTGCGAGGTCTCCAGGTGGCGGACAGGAGCGAGAAAGCTGCGCTGACGGGGCGGGCGGGTAAAACAGCAAAGCTCGCAGTGGAAGAATGGCCCGTTTCGGCCACAGTCGCAGGTTCGTCCATGACTCGAAGTTGGCTGCCGACGACACCCGGCGAATGTGGGCGCCAAATGGCTCGCTTTTTGTTCTGGACGCGTGGAAGCAACCCCAGCGCATTCCGGCAAAATGGGCGGTGGTGTGGTGATCTGGCTTCGATGCGGCTCTCCGGGTCAGCGCAGCGAGGCCCTGCAGGTCCCTGCTGCTCGCCCGGAATCGGAAACGCCACCCGCCAGCAGCGCACTGGCCAGCACCAACGGTGGTGGGGGATCTGGGATCAGCGCCGATGATCCGATCGCAACCTGCAAGAGGCATTGAACCAAAACTGTAACCGGGCAGCAGTCTTGTGCAAGGCATTATTAGGTATGTTTGTGATTGGGCTTCTGAAGCCCTTTTGTGTCTCTATCTCGTCGGTTCTTTTTCCAGCCCGGTATCCCAATTCCCCAAATCCCAAATACAATTCGCGTCTCCAACTCCGTCGGGTATCTTCCCACCGCTCCTGTCCTCTCCTCTCTCGTATCTCGACCCCGCCTCGCTTCGCACTGTACTCGTACAACTACCCTCCTCGGGGGAACATCGGCTACGACGAAATGGCAACAAAGTTTGCATTGTCCCACTTTTCCGGATGGCACACGATGGTCCCGTTCTCGTTCTGGAGCTGGACCATGGCCGCGCCATCAATCCCAATCTTGGTGCCCTTCACTGTCGTCGCTGCAGCATCCAGGAACCAGGCGTCGGCAAACTGAGCGAACGGAACCTGGACCATGTCGGAGTCGTAAAAGTCCTCAATCAGCCACTCGGCGTCGATTCGACACAGCTTGGGCCCGTTGCTAACGGTGATGGACGCCTCGACGCCTTGGTTGGCATTGACGAGGGAGCTGTGTCGCTATTAGATTACTTCTTCCCGTTCTGCGGGCTGGGGTTTGCACTCACATCTTGCCCGAGGTTGCCGTCAGAGCCGTGATATTAACCGTCACCCAGTCGCCAGGCTTCACGGGGAAGCCTTTGATGGTGAAGGACGATTCCGGGTACCACTGCCACCACGCCGACGCACTTTGACCGCCGTTGGAGTTGACGACGGTCGTCACGCCGGCCTGCAGCAGCGCCTGCTTGCACGCGGCCCCGTCGATGCCGACCCACGCGGCCACGTACTGCGGGATGGGCTGCCCGGGCCGCAGCGTGAGGTCCGGGGCCGTGAGCCAGCTGAAGGCGTTGACGATCTGGTTATCCGGCGTGGAATGCTGCGACGCTCCGCACCAGTTGCCGCTGAAGCTGACAACATCTCTCTTGCCCCCTTTGCTGGGAGGCGGGCGTGACTTGTGCCGGGAGCCGTGCTGCCACCGTTGTCGTGGCGGGAGTTTGACGAGTTCCAGTTCGGATGAGATATCGACGGTGCCGTTGTCGCGGGTCGCCTCGACGACAAAGCTGATCTCGGCCGCCGCCGTCCATACCGCCAGCGACCCCACCAGCAGGTGTTGAATAAGAGACCACATGGTCGTGAGACTGCCGGTCGATGCCGATGGTCGATATCGGTGGTTGATGATGGGTTGAGGGGTGTCAAAGGTGTCGAATCATCGAGAGCGGAGCCCCTTATGTGGTCGCGGACGGTGCCGACTTCTTCCTCAGGGGATCGATGCGCAGCAGGGGATGCGGTTCAGCTGGGTGGAAGTCGTCGCGATCGGGAGATCCAGCTCGTAGGAGTTTGGATGTGGCGGCCAGTCATCTAAAGCCTGGTCCCGACGCATCACCAATCCTGGCCTTTGCCGTGGTGCCAATTTCACTACCTCAACCCATGATTTCCCTGGGACCAGGTTTGCGCTGGTTTGCCATTGCAAACACCCACCCACGGCCGGATTTGACTCGTCAGGCCGAGGAGGGGGACAACAACTAGTGCGCCAGCGTAGTATTATAGGGTGCAAGCGACCCTCAGGTCGGGCGTGGCAACAGGGGGGACTGATCCCAAAATAGCCCTCCAAATTACGGCGAGCACGGGCCGACCTGTTCGAGCCCGGTCGAAAGTGGTTTAACCCCGTGATAACGGCCTCAGCTATAACCCCAAGTGGGTGCGGATCCGGGCTTTGTCCTCCTTTGGATTTTTGAACACAGTCCTCTTGAAGCTAGCGATTTCCACTCGATCCAGCTTCTCAGCTCACCAACGCATTCGCATGGACGTCCACACCCACAAAACACGACACTCATCATGTTGGCAGTTCCGAATGCAGCTTCGTGCATATCACTCCGTCAAGGCCCTACCAACCGAACTACTGGTTGGTAATATGTAACAGATGGAGGTTTGTCATATCCCCTTAATAATTCGGCGAGGCTCCAGGGGCAGGGATGGGCAGCAGGTGAGAACCCCAGAATGAGTTAAAGATCATGTTACCGGGGGCGTAGCAGTCGATCTCTATGGAGAAGAACAGAATTGCCGGGTCAACTATTCCCAGCCTCGCCAGGATGGAGGATTATGTTTTCCTGGTTGACGGCCTTGGCTTAATATATTACACCTGCAAGCCGCGATGCTTGCACATAGACATGGGTATCTGCAGCACGACGCCGATATATATCATCCCGGGGGCCGCTGAGGTCTGGACAGTTTGTCGTTGTCTTCTCGAGTAACACGTACTCTAGTGCCAAAGGCATGGCAAACCAAACGAGGGTCTGGAAGACCGGAGAGCAAACTCTCGTACTCGTATCGCGTGTCCAAGTCCACTTGGTGAATAGCAAACATCGATTCCGGATGACTCGAACATCATCGGATGATTCGCAAGCACGTCTTGTGTTGTATCCAGAGGCATCCACGAGGCAAGCCCAGCGACAGAACCCGTTCTCGCCCTTCGGAGCTCTGCGCGGTTCTAGTCTCGGTACCTAAGAAAGGGGTGTTTGCCACACCCGACCCCTGGGCCTCCCTCCCCTCTCAGCCCTGATGCACCGTCATTCGAAAGAGGCTCAACTTCGGTCGGTACCGACAGCGCGACTCTTCGGGAGGGACTAGCCGAAGAAGGGACCGGAAAGGAAAAAGAGCACAGTCCACGGCGATGTGCAAACCCGTTCGGATCGGGGGGTACTACACCCCCCTTTTCGGCACGGTCCTCACTTCACACTCCTCATTAGCGTCTTTTCTAGTCTACCTATATCATGACCACATATTCGATCCAGACCAACGATGAGGCCAGTATGTGAGAAATAGGGCGGCCGCTCCAGGAGAAATTACTACCGACTCTTACTTTTACGTTCAGACACGTATTGTAATAACACTCCAGCCCATCTACATTCCCACCTGAAATCTTGTTTCCCCCAAAGCTTGGTTGTTAAGGTATCGCACCTGTGGGTCCCACCATTCATTTTTCCCTCGCCCAGCCTCGTCGTCTACGTACCCAGATTTATTACGTGCATCATACTACCCGGACATCGGGGTAACAGAAAAGCAACGCTGCGACGTTTCTGGGTGTACTGTAGCTTACGTATGTTGGTAGGTATGCGAAGGGCACGGAGGGCAGGGTGGTATTCCGGCGCGGGCGGGCTTGGCCCGAGAAGAGTAGATTCGGAGAATTAACGGCCGCACATCCTTTACGGATCATGCCGGTGTTTTTTTGCTGGTTGATGGTTTCTCGGTAACCGTGGTTGAGGCTCTCTTCCGAGAATAGAACTGCCAAGTTTTTTTTTATTCCGAAATCAGGAACGGATGACTGAGGCAGTCTAGACTTGGAAGATGACGGACTGTTTTTGTGACCTCATATGGGAATAAGGTGCGAGCTTGGAGGATCGCAATGGGAGAAGCTTAGGTATCTACGGATTGTCTGGAGGCGGATGCTATGTTAGGATAGGTAAGGTGTTTGGGATCAGTTGGTAGAGAGCTGGTTCATGTTATAACGTGCGCATTTTTCGGTACCCTGCTCTCAACAAACCTTTTCTACCTGTCATTCACTTTCACAAGGATTTAAGCAGTTCAGTCAACCGTGACTTCTAGTCACAATTTCTGTCCCCCTTGAAGTGTCTATACTGCCCCAAAGAGGCAGAAGTTATTACGATTGCCTATCCCAAGACGTAGTAGGCAGTCTATGATGCCTATAAGTTTCCATCAACAGACAGACATGATGCATGTTTCGTTCACCCTACGTCAAGCTGCATTTAGCAAAGGGGAGAAAAACAAAAAGATTACAAAAATATGCTACCCGCTTCCAGAGGAAGGAGGTGATGAAGATTCAAATTCCCACGGGCTCAATCGGGGATCGAACCCGAGACCTCGCACATCTTGTTTACTTGTTTTATCTCTGATAGAGACAAGTAATGGGGGAACCATGTGGAAACCGCCCGAAGCACGAATCATACCACTAGACCATTGAGCCGTTGGTTTTCTGAACCCGTTATGTTCTTCTGGAAGACTCAACGTCTCCATAAAGGTACTTTGGGCAACACAGACAACGCGACTTGACTATCACCGAATCATTCCAATTGTCAAATCCTCGTAACCTGTATCGTCCAGTCGCTGGCTTGCAATCGGGTGGTACGGCAAGGAATCCAATCCCGATGGAGTTGTCATTTTCAATTGTCCGAAAACGGGCATCAAAGAACATCGCATACTCCGTACAGCAATACTGTTCAATAACACACGGCTACTTATGTGTTTGCATGAACAATGCCTCCAAGTTTCGAGTCAACAAGTGTCCAACATTGAGCTGCCCACGCCATCGGTCGATTTTCGTCCAGCGACCAGTCCAACGAACAAAAGAATCAGAGGGCAATCAACCAATCCCACTGAAGCACAAAATACCTCGCAGCCCCTCATCACGATCCGACTGCATGTGGCCAGCGAATGCCGAGCCTCCTCGGTGCCAATCACCCCACACCCACCGCCCTGTGAAACACAGCCCAGCTATCTGGAACGTGGGTGGTGGACCGACAAGTCTGGCCACTGAAGACGCCCCCAATCCCAACGTGGAATTCAGAAAAAAAAGGGGGCCTGACATCAACGATCTCGAGAAAGCATGCCCAACCCGGCCGCTTCCGATTTCAACCTTTTTGTAACATCCAAAACCCGCTCCACGTAACTGCAACGTCGTCCCAACTTTGTTTTTGTTTCATCAGCAGGACACAACGTTTCCTAGGCAGATTTAATACTCTTCGACGCCGTGACGCGTTACCGCAGACTTGGCCCCAGAATGTCCCACACGGTGAGAAAAAAACCTCTTCACAATCCCTGGACACCTTCACCTGACAGAAGTATTGTCAACTGACACGAGAAAAATGCATGAACAGTCGGTCAAGGTCACCATTGTGGGAGCCGGGTCGGTCGGGGTGACGACGGCGTATGCCCTGCTGCTGAGCGGGCTGGCCTCGGAGATTGTCCTGCTGGATATCGACCAGGCGCGTGCCGAGGGCGAGGCTATCGATCTGAGTCACGCCGCCCGTATGTTACAGTTCGCACCTTCAGAAACCGGGTACGTACTGACGAGGGTACAGATTACGCTCACGCCAAGGTGCGCGTGGCCTCGTCGTACGCCGACTGCGCCGGGTCGACCATCGTGATCATCACGGCAGGCGTCAACCAGAAGCCCGGGCAGACGCGGCTCGACCTCGTCAAGACGAACTACGCGCTGTTCCGGACCGTTGTGCCCGAAGTCGCTCGCAATGCGCCTGATACGATCTTGCTCGTCGCGACTAACCCGGTCGACGTCCTAACGCACGCGGCTTTCGAGCTGTCGGGATTTCCGGTCCAGAGGGTTATTGGATCGGGGACAGCCATGGTATTCTTTTCCAATCTTCATGAACAACAACTTTGCTAATGGACTAGGACACCACTCGCTTCCGCCACGAGCTGGGCAAGCACTACGGGGTCAACCCGCGCAACGTACATGCCGTGATTATTGGTGAGCATGGAGATAGCCAGATCCCTGTGTGGTCGCTGGCCAGTATTGCGGGCATGCGGCTCCGCGACTACTGCAGCCAGAAGGGTATCGCATACGACGACGCAGCCATGACCGAGGTGGCACGGCGAACTCGGGGCGCCGCCTACGAGATCATTCAGCGAAAGGGCAAGACCAACTACGGCGTGGCGTCGGTACTGGTCAGCATTGTCGAGCCCATCGTCAAGAACAGTGACGCCATCGTCACTGTCTCGCGCGTGGGGATATACGAGGGTGTCGGACCGGTCGCGTTGAGCATGCCGTGCAAACTGAACTATAGGGGGGCGCACCAGGACGTGCCTTTGCTCTTGGATGCGGCTGAGAGGGAAGGGGTGAAAAAGTCAGCCCAGAGTATTCTGGATGTGATTGTTTCTGCAAAGGGCGGGTGACCTTGGCCGTAAACTCCGGCCGTCGACTTTGAATCGACATTGAATCCAGGAAATGGAAATTTGATGCGAGTTGTCTAGGTATCCTGGTCCGATATCGCTCCGTTACGTTGTCTTACCATGGCACTTTTCTGACCGAGAATATCGTTGACACCACGTCCCAAGGCTAGACAACGATCTGTATGTTGGGCTGTAGCCATGTTGTAATGCTGATGGCTGCCTGGCTGTATATATACGATGCAGGGCAGGCTTGCAACGACATCAGATGACGACCACACCAGACTCACGCCCGACTGTCGACATTTCCCTTGTGAAGCCGACGCTGTGCAACAAACAACCTGGAAGCTGGCCTGCTCGGCCATGGCAGAGATTCGGGTGCTACCCAGATGTTTGTATTTTGCTGTATGGGCTTTGCCTTCCGCCTCATTTTTGACTCGTGTGAAACAGCCAGCAGCGGCTGTCGGCCGGTCTTGATGTCCTGGCGGGTGTTGGTAGGCCTTTTTGGCGGCCTGTGATACCTCCGATCCTGCGACAGCCGCCTTGGATTGGACCCTCTGCGCTGTCCTCAGTGTCGTGTGTAATGTATTTTCGGATCATCTTCCGATCTCATTCCCAGGTCCGTTTCCACTCCCATTAGCTGTGTCCCTGGATGTAGTCTTTGTCGCCTGGCCAGGGCCCGAAGGCTGAAGAGAGGATGGCCCACCATCAGCGGCTCCGGTCTGTCGGGAAGTTGAGAATCACGGCCAGCCAATCAAGTCGAATCTCGTCCGGAACCTGGCGTGGTTTGCTGCTTCGACAGCCGCCTGGCGGCCTCAGGGTCTGGCCTTCGTCTCCGCGCGGGGGATGGCGGAGGCGGAGTCGGTCGAGCCTTGTTTCCAAGGACACAACTTTGCATAACCCCGCGACCGCGCAGCGAGCAGCGGGGCTGTGTTGGCTGTCCTCATCAATGCATTCGCGCATCGCATCGTGCATCACGACCACACACATCATGACTTTCTGGCCGCTACTCCACTTGGCTGCTGGTGATGCAGATGGGAGTGCACCACCAGACACGTCCATTCCACACGACCGGATGGATGCCTGCAATGGAGAATTGATCATGCTGTGCTCTCGATGCACGCCATTGTAGGCAGCCTCACGGACCACGACATGTCATTCGTGTTCCCCGCGATCGGTTACCCAGGACGATGTGTTGACGAAATAAAACAAGCGAAGTGGTCGGCGCCGGCACTGCAATTGCCTGCGGCTGGTGCCCTCGCTAGCCGAAGGAATGGGTGGGTGGGTCGCCGCGGAAACGCGGGCGGGCTTCGAGACTGGCGACGGCGGCGGGACGGTCGCTGAGCCACAGGCCCATCGCTGCGAACACAAGGTCGCCGCATACACGGGGGCGGCAGAGAGAGTGCGGCAGCGCGGGTAAGGTTTTACCAACGTTACGGGTCTTGTCCTTCGGTTGTTGATATATAGTCTCCCACTCCCGCACTTTCCCATTAGGATGGCACGAAGACACCAATTGCACTGTTTGCACACCAATTGCTCAGCCAAAAATGGCACGCGTCCAATTCAACCCTCAGGTCTCCTTCGACCCCTACTATCCCACTCCCCGTGTCCGCATCGCCCGTCCACGCGTCGAGATCTACCCAGCGCCCGGCACCATGTCGGCACCCTGGGTCTACAGCAACCTCTCCCCCCACTATGATGGCGAGTCCAAGCCGCCCGAATTCCTCATCTGCCTCGAGATGGGCCTGCTCGTTCGCAGTCGACAGCTGCGACACAGCCTGTCCACCACCCTCCGCGAGGAGATCTCGGCAAGACTGCTCCAGGCCGGCATCGCCAACCACATTTCCTCGGTACGGCGCGGTGGAGGTGGCAACAGCAGCGAGAGCTACAAAGACTGGACCGTATCGGAGGACTTGTCGGTCCCCTCCCAGGCCGCCGACCACCGCTTCGGCATCAAGCTGACGTCGCCCTTCTTCCGCTTTGGCCCGGGCCACGCCTCGACCTGGCTGCCGCGCTTCGACGTCGTCATGACGGTACTGAACCAGGACTTCGAGATCACGACGCACCACGCCTGCGGGACCACAGTCCACCTGGTCCCAAGCCGCGGCTACTGGATCCTATCCGAGGCCAAGCGCCTGGCCGTGGCCGCCTTGTACTTTGAGCGCTGCTTCGATGCTCTGGTTCCCCCTTACCGCCGCCGCAGCGTCTTCGCCAAGAGCATCCGTCACAACGGCTTCTTCTCTCGGCGCCGGACCATACCCGAGTGTGTCGACGCCATCGCCGGCAGCCAGACCGACTCGTTCGCCGCGCTGGCCGCCCGCATGAACTGGTGTGCCGCCGACAGCGCGACGGCCGAGGCCATTGGCCTCACGGCCAAGGACTTCCCCCACGCGACATTTCGCTGGAACTTTACCGGGCTTAACCCCGATCCTCACCACCCTCACCGCGGCCGCGGCACCATCGAGTTCCGGCAACCGGGAGGCGTGACAGATGCTGCGGATGCCGTCCGCTGGACCATGCTGGTCGGCTGCTTTGCCCGGCTGAGCTGTGCATTCTCGATCCGGCCCCACGTGGCCCCCGGCATGGCCAACCTGTGCAGCTGGCTGCGCGACGAGGCGCGGGTTTGCCGCTTCGGGAGAGGATACGTTGCCGACATGTGCACCATGTTTAGCCGTGCTGATGCGGTACAATACGGTGCCTCGGCGGGGAGGGATGCCGAGGTCATCTCGGAGGATGAGGCCACCAGGTTGAGGTGGCTGGAGATGTCACGCTGCAACATCGGCGCCCAAAAGTATCAGGACTGGGCCAAGTGTCATCCCCGAAAGCGGAGCCAGAGGCGGCACTGATCTTTTTCTTTCTTATTGTCATTGGAGTTCTGGTCGGATTGCATAGGATATACCCCAGGAGTTTGTTGGTTTTCTAGATTGGATCACGCCTCGCAACATGGATTTCTCGCATGGATTGACTCCTGAGGGGTTTCCTGTCTTTGTTGTTGGGGGGAGCCTTGTATTAAATAGGGTCGAGTAGACTGTCATGTCGGTATGAGATATGAGTTATGAG